GTTACTGGGTGATGATGGGCTTGAGGTGGTTGGACCCGCAGGCACAGCTACCACCTGTTAGATAGGGACAGTTAGTTAGATAGTTAGTTAGATTGGGACTATACTTCATATTAATAGGGATAGATTAGCGACTATCTTGAGGTGATTTCGGGGCTTAGTGTCCCCGCGGCCCGGTCCTCGACCAGGCCTTTACCCCCAGGAAGCACCCCGTGTCAGCTGACTAACTCCCAGGTACCTATTTACTGCTAGGTAACAGCAGCATCAGGCTAATAAAAACTCTGCCCATTGTTTCTCGCCGGCGCCCGGGATCGAACCCGGGACCACAGGATCACGCGTCCATTGTTCTGTCCGGGTGAGTATAGTGTAAGAACATAGCGGAGAACATAATATATGATTTTATAGAGAATATATCGACGGTTTTTGAGACTTTTGGCTGAGTGTTGTATGTGGATGCTGAGGTTGAGTCTGTGTATAGATGAAGGAACTTTCCCTTATTTCTATTGGTAATGTTAACTTTATCGACTTTGTTGTCTTTGTTAACTTTGTTGTCTGCCTAAAGGTGAATTGTGTTTGATGATTTACTACTTAAACTGTTGAAGATCTTTCCTGTGTTTAGTGGGAGTTTGTTGGTTGACATCCATGAGTGGACATTTTCTAATTTCTTAGAAATTTGAGGAGTTTGAGGAGGTGACGGTAGTGTCCTCAGGGTGATTGGTTTAAAAACTCTTCACCCCATTTCCGCCTTAACCCCCCCCCCCCTCATTCCCATTTCCTTGGTTTCCCATTTTCCCCTTCCCTCGTCCTCCCCCTTCCCCCCCTCTCCGCCTGCTCCCCCCTCTCTCCCCTGTCTCTAAGGGGAGACAGGGGAGAGATCTTAGAGATCCGTCTCTAAGAAAATGTATTATTATTTCTTTAAACACAATGGGAATCACTCCAAATATTTCACGCTTAATGAAAATCAGATGTGGGGGGAGGGGAGGGGGGAGGGGGGAGGGGGAGGGGAGTCTCTTTAATTGGTTATATGTGTTAGATCATTTAACTTAGGCCGACTCCGACCAGCCTATATCCGTCCCGTCCCCCAGACCATTCCCCCTGCAAATTTGTGCGAGGCTAGCCCCAAGCCTCTGGCCTCCAATTTGTGACACAAACTAACAGATATAGTATAGCTTATAGTATACTAGGACAGGGATCAGATAGTATCCAGGATAGTCTCTCTCCCTTCCTCTCTCCCCTCCATTCCACCCTCTCTCCCTACCTCCCTTCTCCCCCTCTCTCCCTACCTCCCTTCTCCCCATCTCTCCCTTCTTCTCACCCTTCCATTCCACCCTCTCTCCCATTATTCTCCCCCCCCCTCCCTTCCAATGTCACCTAGGCCTCTCGTGTTATGTCCAAGGGTTGAACTGCCTTGTTACACCGGCATAGTGGGCCAGCTGGTGCCAGAGGCTAATCACCTGTCAACCACCTGGCAAACGCTGGTAATTGACTATCGGGATTAGGCTGAGGTCGTCCAACAACACTTAGTAACTTGACTCAATCACCGCCTCGTTAGCGGCCCCCTTGTTGGAGACAGGTGTTGGGGGGGGAGGTGTTGGGGGGGGGGTATGTTGGGGGGATGATGTGGAGCCTATGTAGGGGCTGGGTATGTTGGGGAGGTGCTATGTGGGTCATGTAGGGGAGGTGCTATGTGGGTCTTGTAGGGGCTGGGTATGTTGGGGAGGTGCTATGTGGGTCATGTAGGGGCTGGGTATGTTGGGGAGGTGCTATGTGGGTCATGTAGGGGCTGGGTATGTTGGGGAGGTGCTATGTGGGTCATGTAGGGGCTGGGTATGTTGGGGAGGTGCTATGTGGGTCATGTAGGGGCTGGGTATGTTGGGGAGGTGCTATGTGGGTCATGTAAGGGCTGGGTATGTTGGGGAGGTGCTATGTGGGTCATGTAAGGGCTGGGTATGTTGGGGAGGTGCTATGTGGGTCATGTAGGGGCTGGGTATGTTGGGGAGGTGCTATGTGGGTCATGTAGGGGCTGGGTATGTTGGGGAGGTGCTATGTGGGTCATGTAAGGGCTGGGTATGTTGGGAGGTGCTATGTGGGTCATGTAGGGGCTGGGTATGTTGGGAAGGTGCTATGTGGGTCATGTAAGGGCTGGGTATGTTGGGGAGGTGCTATGTGGTCATGTAAGGGCTGGGTATGTTGGGGAGGTGCTATGTGGGTCATGTAAGGGCTGGGTATGTTGGGGAGGTGCTATGTGGGTCATGTAGGGGCTGGGTATGTTGGGGAGGTGCTATGTGGGTCATGTAAGGGCTGGGTATGTTGGGGAGGTGCTATGTGGGTCATGTAGGGGCTGGGTATGTTGGGGAGGTGCTATGTGGGGTCATGTAAGGGCTGGGTATGTTGGGGAGGTGCTATGTGGGGTCATGTAGGAGCTGGGTATGTTGGGGAGGTGCTATGTGGGGTCATGTAAGGGCTGGGTATGTTGGGGAGGTGCTATGTGGGTCATGTAGGGGCTGGGTATGTTGGGGAGGTGCTATGTGGGTCATGTAGGAGCTGGGTATGTTGGGGAGGTGCTGTGGGTCATGTAGGGGCTGAATATGTTGGGGAGGGGCTATGTGGGGTCATGTAGGGGCTGGGTATGTTGGGGAGGTGCTATGTGGGTCATGTAGGGGCTGGGTATGTTGGGGAGGTGCTATGTGGGGTCATGTAGGGGCTGGGTATGTTGGGGAGGGGCTATGTGGGGTCATGTAGGGGCTGGGTATGTTGGGGAGGTGCTATGTGGGTCATGTAGGGGCTGGGTATGTTGGGGAGGGGCTATGTGGGTCATGTAGGGGCTGGGTATGTTGGAGAGGGGCCTGCTGGTGAGGTGGGGAGAAGATGAGTAAATTATCGAGATGCTGGAAGGGAATGGGTAGATACTGAGGGCAGGAAATGGGTAGATACTGAGGGCAGGAAATGGGTAGATACTGAGGGCAGGAAATGGGTAGATACTGAGGGAAAGAAATGGGTAGATACTGAGGGAAGGAAATGGGTTGATACTGAGGGCAGGAAATGGGTAGATACTGAGGGCAGGAAATGGGTAGATACTGAGGGCAGGAAATGGGTAGATACTGAGGGAAAGAAATGGGTAGATACTGAGGGAAGGAAATGGGTAGATACTGAGGGAAGGAAATGGGTAGATACTGAGGGCAGGAAATGGGTAGATACTGAGGGAAAGAAATGGGTAGATACTAAGGGAAGGAAATGGGTAGATACTGAGGGCAGGAAATGGGTAGATACTGAGGGCAGGAAATGGGTAGATATTGAGGGAAGGAAATGGGTAGATACTGAGGGAAGGAAATGGGTAGATACTGAGGGAAAGAAATGGGTAGATACTGAGGGAAGGAAATGGGTAGATACTGAGGGAAGGAAATGGGTAGATACTGAGGGAAGGAAATGGGTAGATACTGAGGGCAGGAAATGGGTAGATACTGAGGGAAAGAAATGGGTAGATACTGAGGGAAAGAAATGGGTAGATACTGAGGGAAGGAAATGGGTAGATACTGAGGGAAGGAAATGGGTAGATACTGAGGGAAGGAAATGGGTAGATACTGAGGGAAGGAAATGGGTAGATACTGAGGGAAGGAAATGGGTAGATACTGAGGGAAGGAAATGGGTAGATACTGAGGGAAGGAAATGGGTAGATACTGAGGGAAGGAAATGGGTAGATACTGAGGGAAGGAAATGGGTAGATACTGAGGGAAGGAAATGGGTAGATAATGAGGAAAGAAGTGATGAACGAATATGCTGAATAAGATAGGAAGTTGATGGGTAAGTTGGAGATGGTGGGTATGTTGGGTAGATTAGTAGATAGTTGATTCAGGCTGTGACTCATACGTCAGGCTGCGAGCAGCCGCGTCCAGTAGGACTGGTCGGGTCCTCGACCAGTAGGCCTGGTCGGGTCCTCGACCAGTAGGCCTGGTCGGGTCCTCGACCAGTAGGCCTGGTCGGGTCCTCGACCAGTAGGCCGCGGGGACACTAAGCCCCGGAATCCTCGCAAGGTAAGGTAAGGTTGGGGGAGGTGCTGGAGGGGTGCCCGCGTTCCCGTGTGTTCCACCCTCTGTTGTTTTAAAGGTGTTCTTCATGACCTCACCCCCCTACCCCCCCCCCCCTCGCTACACCCCCCCCCCCTCTCTCTCTCTCTCTCTCTCTCTCTGCTATTACCTATTCCATGCAGTTTTATCTACATATTTTATTCCCTCATCACGTATAGTAATTTTTTTCCTCTCATATTTCACTCATTTCCCTCTACCAGTTCATCCCTTCCTGGCCCCCCCTCCCTCCCCTCCCTCTTTCCCATCCTCCGTTCCGCCCCTCCCTTCGACTCTCCCCCCTTCCTCCCCTTCCACCGCCCCTTCCTCCCCCTTCCACCGCCCCTTCCTCCCCCTTCCACCGCCCCATCCAACCTGTCCTCACTCATGTAATAAATGGAGGTAAAATTCAGCTGTGTTAAAGAGCAGCGCTTCAGGAACTGCTGAATCTGTGAGGTCTTGTCAGGCTCCAGCTCCTGGGCCCCCAGCATGGTGGTCTTGTCAGGCTCCAGCTCCTGGGTCCCCAGTATGGTGATCTTGTCAGGCTCCAGCTCCTGGGCCCCCAGTATGGTGATCTTGTCAGGCTCCAGCTCCTGGGTCCCCAGTATGGTGGTCTTGTCAGGCTCCAGCTCCTGGGCCCCCAGTATGGTGATCTTGTCAGGCTCCAGCTCCTGGGCCCCCAGTATGGTAATCTTGTCAGGCTCCAGCTCCTGGGCCCCCAGTATGGTGATCTTGTCAGGCTCCAGCTCCTGGGTCCCCAGCATGGTGATCTTGTCAGGTTCCAGCTCCTGGGCCCCCAGCATGGTGATCTTGTCAGGCTCCAGCTCCTGGGCCCCAGTATGGTGATCTTGTCAGGCTCCAGCTCCTGGGTCCCCAGTATGGTGATCTTGTCAGGCTGCCTGCGTGTCTCAGTAGCTCAGCTTTTCCAGCTCCTGGTGAAAAATGGTGATCTGTAAGTCCTGGGCTTGGTGATGGTCTCTCTGGCTTTAGTAGATTATAGATTACCATTGATTTCTCCATCTTGCACATTTTTCAACCTGCTGCCTCTTTATTATGAACTAAATGTTATTCACTTTATTCCTGAAATGTATGTTTGAGTCGACCAGGAGGCCTGGTCGACGACCGGGCCGCGGGGACGCTAAGCCCCGGAAGCACCTCAAGGTAACCTCAAGGTAGACTGCTGTATGTGTGTGTGTTTAGTCCAGCCATTACTGAAATGAGCTGTATAAATTATTACAAATAAATTTGTTGAATATATCTGTATCTTACAACGTTTTTTTTTTAAATCACTGATAAATGTAGTTTCTAAATCTAAATCTAGGGTATACATTATATAATTCTAATGATTACATCTTATGCCGATATGACGACTTTATCTCAGATAAATAACTTAATATCCATATTTGTAAACTAATCCATTTATAAATATAGTTTTGAATTTGTTTTAATAATCTGCTTCCCCTCTGATCCTGTAACTACTTCAGCAAATTTGGAAGAGGGAGAGACACAGTGTGGGAGAGGGAGAGACACAGTGTGGGAGAGGGAGAGACACAGTGTGGGAGAGGGAGAGACACAGTGTGGGAGAGGGAGAGACATAATGTGGGAGAGGGAGAGAGACAGTGTGGAAGAGGGAGAGAGACAGTGTGGAAGAGGGAGAGACACAGTGTGGGAGAGACACAGTGTGGGAGAGGGAGAGACATAATGTGGGAGAGGGAGAGAGACAGTGTGGAAGAGGGAGAGAGACAGTGTGGAAGAGGGAGAGAGACAGTGTGGAAGAGGGAGAGAGACAGTGTGGAAGAGGGAGAGACATAATGTGGAAGAGGGAGAGAGGGATGTAACGTCTGATGTGAAAGACTCGACGGTTCTCAGGTGTGCAAAGACCGCCCAATTGTCTGGACTCACGTCAGCAGGTTTCTAGACATGTTATTTGCAGCCTTATCCACCAGGGAGCTGAGCCCCACAAGAGGCGAGTGATTGTGTGACAAAGTTCCCTCTTTTGGGAGGCTTCCGCCGGCTCTATTAATACAGAGATCCTCCCAAGTTACTGATGAGGCAGAGAACATGGCTGCTTGAGCTTATTCTCTAGTCGAAAATCTATAAATTTCTAAAATCGGGTGTTTTTTTTGGTCAAATATTTGCAGTTATGAAATGGCTTTAAATTCCAAGTGTTCAATTAGAGTTTGGCTCTGTTAAAGGTTGGAATTATAATGAATCTCGTCTTCTGGAAAATGTTATGGTCGTCCATGTTTTCTGGTCTTATGGTGCACGTCCTCTTGTCTTATGGTGCACGTCCTCTGGTCTTATGGTGCACGTCCGCTGGTCTTATGGTCCTCCACGTCCTCTGGTCTTATGGTCTTCCACGTCCTCTGGTCTTATGGTCCTCCACGTCCTCTGGTCTTATGGTCCTCCACGTCCGCTGGTCTTATGGTCCTCCACGTCCTCTGGTCTTATGGTCCTCCACGTCCTCTGGTCTTATGGTCCTCCACGTCCTGTGGTCTTGTGGTCCTCCACGTCCTCTGGTTTTATGGTCCTCCACGTCCTCTGGTCTTATGGTGCACGTCCTCTTGTCTTATGGTGCACGTCCTCTGGTCTTATGGTCCTCCACGTCCTGTGGTCTTGTGGTCCTCCACGTCCTCTGGTTTTATGGTCCTCCACGTCCTCTGGTCTTATGGTGCACGTCCTCTTGTCTTATGGTGCACGTCCTCTGGTCTTATGGTCCTCCACGTCCTGTGGTCTTGTGGTCCTCCACGTCCTCTGGTTTTATGGTCCTCCACGTCCTCTGGTCTTATGGTGCACGTCCTCTTGTCTTATGGTGCACGTCCTCTGGTCTTATGGTGCACGTCCTCTTGTCTTATGGTGCACGTCCTCTGGTCTTATGGTGCACGTCCTCTTGTCTTATGGTGCACGTCCGCTGGTCTTATGGTGCACGTCCTCTGGTCTTATGGTGCACGTCCTCTGGTCTTATGGTCCTCCACGTCCTCTGGTCTTATGGTCCTCCACGTCCTCTGGTCTTATGGTCCTCCACGTGGCGTGGACCAGAACACCTGCCCGAGCCTCTGGAAGGTATCAGTCCCTTCAACAACATCCCTTAACATGCAGACACATAAATGCAGCAGCGATTATAACGGCGAGCAATTAGTGCTGAATTGGGGTGGAGGCGTCTGGAAATATTAGCCTCTACGTGTGAGCTTCCAGCAGCAGCAGCAGCTGGAGCAGCAGCAGGCCGCTGGAAGCTGGATCCTCGACGGTTGATTACCTCATTAAAATTGCAGTCAGGGCCTCCAGTGAGAGACAAAAAGTCTTGCGCTATTAACAACCATTCCAGGAGGTGTCGTTTGTGTGTGAGAGAGCTGGGAGGTCAGAGCTGGGAGGTCAGAGCTGGGAGGTCAGAGCTGGGAGGTCAGAGCTGGGAGGTCAGAGCTGGGAGGTCAGAGCTGGGAGGTCAGAGCTGGGAGGTCAGAGCCGGGAGGTCAGAGCTGGGAGGTCAGAGCTGGGAGGTCAGAGCTGGGAGGTCAGAGCTGGGAGGTCAGAGCCGGGAGGTCAGAGCTGGGAGGTCAGAGCTGGGAGGTCAGAGCCGGGAGGTCAGAGCTGGGAGGTCAGAGCTGGGAGGTCAGAGCCGGGAGGTCAGAGCTGGGAGGTCAGAGCTGGGAGGTCAGAGCTGGGAGGTCAGAGCTGGGAGGTCAGAGCCAGGTCATTGTTGAAGTGTACAGAAGTCCCCCTTTCATTCATCTGTTTTTATATCAAATAACTTTTTTTTGGATGATTTACGCTTGCATCTTTGGTGCGCCCACTTAGACTGATTGGGACAGCGACGGCAAAGATTCATGCTAGTCTTTGTTCAATCCCCCGATGTTCCAAGTGGTGGTGAAACTGTTCATTCACTTCGTCCTTGCATCTCTTGCCAGTGTGGTGAAGTTATACCGGGTTGTTGTTTTCTTGTAATTCCTTTACCTTGACGTGGGTGTACCTCAGGACCACTACGGTACACTGCTACACCTTGACGTGGGTGTACCTGAGACAGGACCACTACGGTACACTGCTACACCTTGACGTGGGTGTACCTGAGACAGGACCACTACGGTACACTGCTACACCTTGACGTGGGTGTACCTCAGGACCACTACGGTACACTGCTACACCTTGACGTGGGTGTACCTCAGGACCACTACGGTACACTGCTACACCTTGACGTGGGTGTACATCAGGACCACTACGGTACACTGCTACACCTTGACGTGGGTGTACCTGACCACTACGGTACACTGCTACACCTTGACCACAGGACCACTACGGTACACTGCTACACCTTGACGTGGGTGTACCTCAGGACCACTACGGTACACTGCTACACCTTGACGTGGGTGTACCTCAGGACCACTACGGTACACTGCTACACCTTGACGTGGGTGTACGACGTGGGTGTACCTCAGGACCACTACGGTACACTGCTACACCTTGACGTGGGTGTACCTCAGGACCACTACGGTACACTGCTACACCTTGACGTGGGTGTACCTCAGGACCACTACGGTACACTGCTACACCTTGACGTGGGTGTACCTCAGGACCACTACGGTACACTGCTACACCTTGACGTGGGTGTACCTCAGGACCACTACGGTACACTGCTACACCTTGACGTGGGTGTACCTCAGGACCACTACGGTACACTGCTACACCTTGACGTGGGTGTACCTCAGGACCACTACGGTACACTGCTACACCTTGACGTGGGTGTACCTCAGGGACCACTACGGTACACTGCTACACCTTGACGTGGGTGTACCTCAGTCAGGACCACTACGGTACACTGCTACACCTTGACGTGGGTGTACCTCAGGGACCACTACGGTACACTGCTACACCTTGACGTGGGTGTACCTCAGGACACTACGACCACTACGGTACACTGCTACACCTTGACGTGGGTGTACCTCAGGACCACTACGGTACACTGCTACACCTTGACGTGGGTGTACCTCAGGACCACTACGGTACACTGCTACACCTTGACGTGGGTGTACCTCAGGACCACTACGGTACACTGCTACACCTTGACGTGGGTGTACCTCAGGACCACTACGGTACACTGCTACACCTTGACGTGGGTGTACCTCAGGACCACTACGGTACACTGCTACACCTTGACGTGGGTGTACCTCAGGACCACTACGGTACACTGCTACACCTTGACGTGGGTGTACCTCAGGACCACTACGGTACACTGCTACACCTTGACGTGGGTGTACCTCAGGACCACTACGGTACACTGCTACACCTTGACGTGGGTGTACCTCAGGACCACTACGGTACACTGCTACACCTTGACGTGGGTGTACCTCAGGACCACTACGGTACACTGCTACACCTTGACGTGGGTGTACCTCAGGACCACTACGGTACACTGCTACACCTTGACGTGGGTGTACCTCAGGACCACTACGGTACACTGCTACACCTTGACGTGGGTGTACCTCAGGGTACCACTACGGTACACTGCTACACCTTGACGTGGGTGTACCTCAGGACCACTACGGTACACTGCTACACCTTGACGTGGGTGTACCTCAGGACCACTACGGTACACTGCTACACCTTGACGTGGGTGTACCTCAGGACCACTACGGTACACTGCTACACCTTGACGTGGGTGTACCTCAGGACCACTACGGTACACTGCTACACCTTGACGTGGGTGTACCTCAGGACCACTACGGTACACTGCTACACCTTGACGTGGGTGTACCTCAGGACCACTACGGTACCACTACGGGGTGTACCTCACACTGCTACACTGCCTTGACGTGGGTGTACCTCAGGACACTACGGTACACTGCTACACCTACGGGGTGTACACAGGACCACTACGGTACACTGCTACACCTTGACGTGGGTGTACCTCAGGACCACTACGGTACACTGCTACACCTTGACGTGGGTGTACCTCAGGAC